AATCTGATTGATTTTTTTTTTTCTATTTTTATAGTCGTAGTGATGCTCTATGAGCTTTTTATTAATTTCCTTATGAGGTGGTCGTTTTTATTTTATTGTTTCTAAATATTTTTTCTTCCAGATGACAAGCAAGAAAATGATAATTCTTCTGCGTCCTTTTATTTTTTTCATTCTGAATTCTAACAAGTAAGGAAAATATTGTGTACCGGTACTGCGGTACTGTACGTTTTTTTAAATATGTGTAACTCTTTGATCATAATTTTTAAAAAATAGCATTTTTGTTTTGGATTCTATAAATTTTCTACTAATCCCAGTTTTATTTTACAGGATGGAGTTGGTGACAAGAATTATGTCTGATGTTGTGTACAGAGCTGTGAACACATTTACCTCAGGGAAAAGGACCCCACCATTATGGGAGCAGAAGTTTTACAAAAAGAAGAAAAGGAACAGCGCAGATGCAGAACCAGTAAAAATGTCTGAGGCTGATGCTGAAGAAAAGATGGAAATTGAAGAAGGCGTCAACTCAAACTCTTTTTCAGTAAGCTATAATGATCATGAACTTGCTTATGAATGGCTCAGTCAGAAAAGTTAGTAGACTGATTCCGGTAAAATCAGATATGCCAGTTGGATAGACAAGCTGAATAGAGGAGAGATAACTTATACTCTGCTAAGTAAGTTATTAGTTGCTGCTTACCAATTAAAGGTTTTGGTAATGACTGATCTTCACCTGTTATAATCATAATCATCATGTAGTAGAATTGTTTGGACGCGGATAATGTTTACTTGAAGTCACGATGTATCATTTCAGTTGGACAGGAGCTACCTGCTCCTACTTCTCTTCAGGCAGGCAGAAAAAGCAACAACAAGGGCTCCCAACAGAGCATTGCTATACAAGTTTGTTAAAAAATACCCCAAAGATCTTGATGTGACCACAAAGTTCCTCAATCACCAAACAAGGTCTATAGTTTTACCTAATTTAATATTTATTGTTAAATTATTTATTTAACTGCCAAGTTTAGCATTAGACATTCAATAATTTTATTTTTTTGTTAGTTGTTTCTTTTGAGCTTTTCAGCATTGAGTTTATTGCTTCATAACCCATCAATATTTGATAAAGTGCATTTCAATAGTGCATAATTTATATTTCTTATATTTCAGTACCAATCTTAACACTGAAGAAGCAGAAGGGATTGTGCAAAATGCAACTTACTTTGAAGGATATGATCTTACACTTCTCGAGGATGATGGGAAGGCTACGGACAAACAAGAGAAAAAGAAAAAAAAAAGGAAGAATAAGAAACAGCTTGATAGAGAGTTAATTTCTGATGTTAACACTGTAACAAGCAATGTCATTCTTAATGGTGGGTGTGACAATTTGGGTGTAAAGAAAAAGTCAAAGAAAAACAAAAGTGAATCCTTACTAGGCAGCTCTGAAACAAACTTAATTAAACCTCAAACAGATGTGCGAATTTCAGCAGAAACCCTACAATTCTCTTGTGATACATCAAAAAAAAGGAAAAGAAAGAAACGTGTGCATGATAAAATTAAAAATGAAACTGTTGTAGCCGTAAAAATTAATGACAATGAAGAGTCTAGCCAGGTTGTTGCGTGTGAGAAAAAAGTTAAAAAACGTAAGAGAGTTTTGTTGGAAAATGATGACAGCCCCAAGGTTGCTAAAAAGAGGAAAAAAGTATCTACTGACAGCTGGGAAGATACATCTGTAGTGTCTTCCAATGTGTTAGAGGAGTCTGTCTCGCTCACATCCCCTAGCTCGGAGCCTGAAGACAACAACTCTAATGCCAGGTCAAGGAGCAGAAGTAAGAGTCCACCTAAGCTAGTCCCACTTTCAGAAGCCATTGAGTTGGTGACCTATTCACCCAAGAGAATGGTGACCTCACCACGATCAACTTCAGCCTCTCCTAAATCGAGAAGAAGCCCCAAGAGGCAGGCTAATGGTTCACCCCCCAGGTCCAAGCCATCCACTGAGACACCGATCATGGATAAAGCCTCTGCCTTTGTTGGGGACCTGTGCACAGCCCTGACAGGTCCATGCAACATTGTTAAGAAAGCTCTGGGAATGGTCAGCACAAACAGTGACCCAGGACCAGGCATGAAACAGAAGGTAGGCCTTCATTGTTTATTCTGCTAATTTACACGTCTTGCTTATAATGATAAATTTTGGTGTTTGTAAAAAGTATATTGGAACCATCTGTGTTTACATGCTCATTTGATACTGATAATGGTTATGTGTGGTTGTTTGCTTTTGAAATAAATTTCCTGCAAACATCACTTTTTAATTTTCAGGCCCATTCCATACCAGGTGTTGTCATGACTCCTGGAACGAAAAAGAAAGTTGTCTTTGACCTGCGTAGAAATAGAGCCAACAGTAAGTGACTCTGAACTTGACAGTTGAGATGAAACTATAGTTTGATTCGCTGGTTCTACATTTGTGTGTGAACATTAGTAAACAATCTTCTAAATTAAGAACAGTTTTGTGTTCTTTGGAACTAATTATGCGAGTAACTCCTTCGCTTTATTTTAAATTGTTATTTTTGTGGAAGTTCTCACCTGTTTCTTATGAAAAGTAATTATCTGTGTGCCATGTGAAAATTTACTGATTTACTTGATGTTTTTTTCAGAATTTCAAGACTACATTAAAAGTTTAGCTAAACTGCCTGATGCTCCTTATGAGCCGTCCAAAAGCCCTTCATTTAGCATTCTGAAATCTCCCAATGTATCTCTTTGTATTGACGATAACTCAGATTCCGAGACTAAATCTGAGTCAGATATTTCTGAGCTGTCTCAGGCCAGTAAATCAAAACGGGTTCACTTTTCCAGAAGGAATTCGTCAGGTGGGCTAAAGAAGTAGAAACGTTTGTTTTAAATTTACATTAGCTCGGAAAGGTGATTTCACTTGACAGACTTTCCCTGGGTGATCTTAACTTTAACTTCACTGGGTTTATTTAAAGCTGTCTTAAAAATATATGCTAATAATATAATAGACTTGGGCCAGTTGTTCCCAAAGTGCTAATCTTTTTTATGAAATATTTTATGAATTACAGACTTAGATTATATTAGTGATTTTTTAATTCAAGTGAAATTGCGCAAAGACTTTATGGGCATTTATTTGACATTGTTAAATTGAAATTAAACTGTTTCTTTCTTTTAATGTTGTATTCCCATTTTTTTGTTTAACTGATGCTGCTGTTACTTGATTATTGTCAAGATTTACTTCGTTAATTTCAACAACCAAATGACATCAATGAGTGTTTATTTTAAACTGTTTATTATTTAAACAATAAAAATACTTATGTTCTGGTTGAAAAATGAAATTGATTTTGTCATTGAATTAAATAGAAAATGTAGTATTGCTTATTAATTAATAAATTATTAGGAACCTTAATTTAAATTTTACTAAAATGTCTTGAAAGCTTTAGATTTAAAAGCTATGAGATTGCGATGTAATGATAAATATATTTAATGCCACCACAGAAAAACTAACATGATGACGTTTGGGTATGGATTCATTATTATATTTTTGTGAAGGTTGTCAGAGAAAAGTTGCTGGCGCTCTGCTACTTTCACATTTTCATTATATTTATATTATGTTTGGCATTTGGGATACCAAGAGTTATTGAGCGTAATTCAATTTTTTTTAAAACTTCCTGTAAATGCTAAATGAAGGTACGAAGGAAACGTAATTTACAATACTTAAACTTAAAACAAAAACATCTGTTGGGGGTTTATGCTGCTTTTTTTTTTCTCCTTAACACTTTCGGAATATTTCTTGCCATTATTTGTGATTCAGGTAGAGACAGCTCTCTGAGGGAGATGTGGAAGTTGTAAACATGACATTGATAGCACAATGGCACTACTGGTTGGTATCTCTTTGGGGTGAATTAAGTTTATTTGTTCAGTAGAATTTCAGAATTATAAATTATAAGGTACCGTACTGTAATCTAAAAAATGCATATGAAGTGAGAGTGCCAAATATTTGTTGTAGAAATATGAAGCCCGTCCATTTTCTGAAGGGCTTTGTCATATTTTCTTTCTCCAGATCTGCCACTGTACGTGGATATGTGTATAGCATTTTTTTAAAATTTACCATGCATTGAGAGATTTAAGTTTGAAAACATTCAACTACGGTAATCATGAATGAAGGAAGGTGACATTCTTAATTAGTTAAATGGGATTTGCAAAGCAAAAAAAAAATGTTCTGTCGTGTCATTTTAATCTGTTTTTTTCTTATCGAGGAAACCCTATTAGTATTCCCTTTACTGATGGATCTGAGATTTGGTAACCTCTAGAAGTAGAACTTGCTTAGAGATGACCCTGAACAATATGAACTTAATCACTTCTGGTATAAAATAATGCCCACCTATAAAGTGGCAAAGGGCTTGAAAACTTCAGATTCAGACAAATATCAGTGTAAATGAAAATGACTTGGATTTTATTTGCTTGTCTGGTTGGTCACTTTCAAATTTTCATCTTCTTAAGAACTACATGTTTGTTTAGAAAATACCTAAATTTAATAAACTGCTCTATGAATATGTCTTTTAGTTACATTTAAATTTTGCTATCTAACCATTTTTATTTTAGCACATTTTCATGAGTGTTTCAAAAGAAGCTTCAGGTGCAATAAGTTCAATAAGGCCATTTTAAAAAAATATAAAAAATTTAGAACAAGAGTGACCGAATCTGTGTGATTACTCAGAATTTATGTCCCGGTACTTGTCAGTAAACAGTAAATGCTTAATGGTAGTTGTAAGTGGATTATTTTATATCAATTTCATTAAGTATAAGCGTACGCATTGCTTCTGTGTCCTTAACTGGATTTATCTTGGATGAAAATTTGACTTAAATATGCATTTGTAGATAAATAAAATAACTGCTATATGGAATAATGTGTGATTACTTTTCCTTTTTAAAGTTGCTGAAGACTGTGCTACATATTTCTTCTGATGCCTGAGAATAAAATCAGACTCGAATGTTTATTTTTTCAACAAATGATTAATTCTCTTATTAATTACATGTAGTCTGTTATTTGATAATGAGAAATGTCAACCTTTTCTCTTCTTCCCACATAATTCAACATTATCTTTCATTCCATTGAAAATAAGATAGCTTTTTGAATGATGTATACATTTTATATTCATTCTGTTATTTACACGGTACTGGTATATAATACGTAGCAATGATGGATTATGTGTTATTTTACAAATTATCTATAGGTTATAACAATTTCAGTTATAAACTTTTGTTAAAAGTTTTTTTTTTTTTTTTTTTTTTTAAATAAAGGAAAAATACTCAGTTTTTTTTAGTTTTAGCATACACCTGGTCATGTTTTGACACACAAAGTTTGCTAATACTATAATGATAATAATAGTTGATAATCTTTTTTTTTTTATTTTTTTTTTTTAAAAGTTTTTTTTTTTTTTTTTTTTTTAAATAAAGGAGAAATACTCAGCTTGTTTTAGTTTTAGCATACACCTGGTCATGATTTGACACACAAAGTTTGCTAATACTATAATGATAATAATAGTTGATAATCTGCATATATATAGACCTTCTAAAAGAAATAAAACTGAAATTTATCTGTATTTAAAAAAATGAAAGTATTTCCAAAATTTTAGTTGAATTTAATTGTTTTTGGTTTTAACAAAAAAATTCAATGTATAATTGAGAATAAATAATAATATTTAAAAAAAAAACAGGCATTCATTCAATGTCTGAATGTTGCTAAATCCAGCAATGAAAATTGTTAATATCTACTTAAAATTTACACTTAATCTGATGTTCACTATTGTATTTTAGAGTGTGGGAAAAAAAATTGCTAGTTACTGCAACGCCCAAAATCTCATTCTCTTTTAACTCTAAGATTAAAAAAATTATAATGCTTAACAGACAGGTTTTTACCCAAACATTCAGAGATTCTTACTTTCTGAAACTGTGCTCTTTATAAAGTAAGATTAATATTATATGAAAGTAAGACTTCAAATAATCCTCCAAGTATTGTGTTTAGAATTCCTTTCTTTTTCCTTTGGTCATGTGCTGTGAACAGTTTCTAGAATTTTATGCACTGAAAGTCAGTGAAAGCTTTTTAAATTTAATTTCAATAGGCTATACTACTACTACTAGATATAAATTCTTTTCATGATGGTGGTTGTTAAATTTCACTGTGTTACGACATCTACATCTGCTACACACATTGGTGTTACAGTTGGAGGATTTGTTGCATAGCCAATGGGTGATTTGCATTGTGGACTTCTGGCCTAAAAAAAAATGGAAAGGAAAGTTTTATGTGAATGAGTCAAGACAATGCATATGTGTTGTAAAACATTTGCTTTGGGAGATTTAATTAATTGTGTTGGAAAGATGTACTATAAAATACTATAATACCTTTTTCAAGTTTTCAGAATCTGACTTAAAATCAATAAAAACAAAATTTAAGGAAAAAAGCACTGCAAACTTCAAGCAGCAAATTAAAAAAACTGTACCGGTAAATAATATTAAATTCAAAATACCAGTAATAAAATTATCAGCTTTTGTTGTAAAATGAGACGTTTTATATTAGATAACATAGTCAATATCTGCCTTTCTATACCTACCCTTGGCCATTTTAACGTCTCTCTGCTTTCCCTTCTTGAAATAACACGAGGTTGGTTGTCATCATAATGGGTTGTCTCTTCTTGTATGCAGGGCTGCACACATGTTGGAGAGCCACGACCTGGTCCTCCAGCAGGTACACAGGTATAACCTACTGGCCGCTGATCTTCAGGGGCATCCATTTTAATTGCAGCCGGTTCAACAATCTAGAACAAAATCACAATATCTCAGTAATGTAAAGTTAAAAACACAAAATACACCCAACCCTTATGTTTTGACAGTGGTGCATTTTATTAACAAAAATTAAATGAAATAATTAATTTTAAAAATTCATGACTATGGTATTAAAAAAAAAATTATGAATCTTATTTACAGAAAATGCAGTATAACCTCTTAATTATTATTTAAAATGTATGGAGTGTGTAATGGACAAAAACGAAATATAAATGACTATGATTATAACACTGCACAATTCTTGTTGCAACACTGCACTATTCTTGTTGCTATCAATAGATAAATATAGACCTAATCCATGTTTAAAATTAATTTCATGTCAAATAGACCACACTCTTGCTGGGCACAACAAGGCAAAAATTATTGAGGAGATTAACTACTATTAACCCTAACCTAAGTAAGATAACACAACCACCCATGCAGGGCCAGATTAACTCCCTTGAGTCTCCTATGCTCTTTAAAATGGTTATTTTGGTGCCCAATTATATTTAAATTGAATTAAAAATATTAAAAAATATGAACCCGTAAAATAAAAAGTTATTGAGATAAACATAAATTACAACTAAGATGGAATATAATGTTTAATTTGTGTTAACATTATTTTGTATAAACAGATTTTCTACTACATTTCTAGTTGCTTAGTCTTTTAATTTTATGACGACATCAAAAGCTGATTTTTCTAACCACATCTGCTTCTACTTCTATACTCAGTAAAGCAAAAGCATGGAGTGCAGCCTGCCTTGTTGCACAGTTGTTCCATTTCTATCATTAATGTTAAAATTTTGCGTGGAATCTATTATCAAAATTTGGAGAGAAGCACTCAATATTGTCTTCTAATACTACTACTATTATTTTAAAAACTTCTGCATGTGTGAATTTTGCTTTTACATTATTTGCTGCACTGAACTTTTGCTACACATGTGAATGAAACTGCTGAAGCTCAGATGAAAAAAATATTGTTTAAGTCCTCTGGGTAAGCATTCATTAATAAGTTTTGAAACCAAGACAATGCCTGTCACTTTCAGATGATGATGAGGTCATTAGTCAATGGCACATCATTTAGTAAGGAAAATGAAAATCTCTCTGCTATTACTTTATATATCAATCATCTATTTCTTATCTCAGTTTGTAGAGTATCAGTAATTGTATAAAAGTAAAAGGTATCTATGTGAAATTTTTCTCTCACAATTAGATGAATTTGTGGTACTTTCTTTGTTAAATTTCAGAGTGAACTTGTAAGCCACATCTGGTAGCTGCTTCATATTTTTTTTAAATAATCTCAAACAGTACACAGTTGACCACCTAATGATTCATAGTCATAGTGATCTGCACATGTTTCTAAGTTCACATCCTCATTCTGCTGGAGAAACTGTCTTATTTTATGAAAATGTAAAATGTCATTTCAAAAATTCAACATGAAGACAAATTCTAATTCTTGTATTATGTGCTTCTCTTCTAGTATCTCCATTTTTATACTGGTCTTCAGCTATACAATCAAGTGGTCTTCAGCTATACATCAAGTGCTTCTAAAATGTTAGAATTAGACTTCAATATTGCTGATGTAGGCATAGCAAGTGCCACCCATCTAGTGTCAGAGAGGGATTTTAAAACACTTTTGTTTCCAATACAAATTTTAAGGATTGGGCCACCGGCTGGTAGATGCTGAATAAATTGTGCAGCAACTACACTATTGAGAAGAATTTAATTTTAGCTGCCTCTTGACCAGCGGTCAGCATCAATACCGGCCAGTTCGATTTATTTATTGGACTGCACGGGTAAATAGCAAATTATTTTGTTTCAATAATTTTTTGCTGCATCCCCTTGTAATGCCCAGACATGATAACAAGGTTATCATAAAGGATTTGCTTTGTCAGAAATTCCAGTATTGAAAATCTTACCCACTAAAAATGGATCAAACTGAGCAATAGCCCTAAAAAGTTTCCATTCTGCAGTCATCCAAACCTTTCTTCCGTTCCTTGAAAAGGTAAAGCCACATTCATATGTAGTACAGATAACAGCTATGACATGCTTCAAAACATATTCCCAGTAATCAAACTCGTCCTGAATTTGTTTTTCCAACTGTACTGTTATTTTCATGAATATCAATTATGATTAATATTTCACGTTACTGAATCCTTCTTTCATTACAAAATGTTAAGTTTTTTATTTTATGTTATGAAAGTTTACATACTAATAACTAAACAGTAAACTGATCCTGATGGTGGTAAATACAATAACCACTATCTCTTGAAACCCTCACCATCTGCAATTGTTCCAGTGAAAAGTTTTTGTAAGCATTATCCATCAGGTTTGACACTACTGAAATGATGGTAAGACTTGTCAAATGGCCCGGCATTGGTATTTTGACGGTTTTTTTTGGGACCACCAGCAATCTTATAAGCTACACCATCAGCAGAAAAAATGAAGCCACAACCTTGGATATTTCCCTAAATTTATTTCATATTTTGAAGACTGGATCATTTCCGTTTTAGCAGTAATTTCCACTCTCAACATTGGCATTCAAGGTATCAGGAGGAGAATGTAATGGCAAGATGAGATCTGAAGGCGAAGATGTAGTTGATGAATCAGCTTGTGCTTGTGACACTGAGGATTTTAATTGGATGGAAGAGGCTATGTCCATTTCTGATGATGAGGCTTATGTTTGCATGGGCATTGATGTAACATGTGGAACTTGAGTGAAGAAATGAGTTTGCATTGCAGTTTTGGACAATAGATCCACAAGCTTCTCTTTTTTCTGTCTTGATAATTTTCATTTTTCTGAATCCCTTAATGGAAATATTTCATCTGCCTTAATTCTAGGAGTATACATGGTATAAAGTAAACACATTAAATTTTTTCCTAATTTAAAAAAAAAATCGCTATCATATTTTTAGTCTAAAAAGATCACATCCAGATTCTTACATGGCATTTCTTAGTTGCACCACTAAGAATGAGATTCCCATTTTCTTTGAGGTGTTGCCCTTTGAGAACTGCTTCATCTGATCTTGCTGTTGGCACAGTTATTCTATTTCCTGCAACATCAAAGTTGTTGTTTAGTTAGCGGTCAAATAGTAAGAATTTATGAGCAACACTATAAATAAACAGCTTTAAAAAAGCTGCTTATTAAAAAAAATATTTGTCTGCAGCATTTTAGAAAATATATGCCAAATTTTAATGGCTTAGCAGCATCTAAGTTAAGTAAGTAAATAAACTGAACTGTGCTGATGCAAGGCTGAATTTATTAACTCTTATTTTACATAATGAATTTTTAAGCAAAGTGAATTCTAATTCAGAATTTGATAACTTTGAAATAAATGTAATCAATAATACTTTTTATTACAAACAAATATATATTTAAAATTGGATCCTGATAAAAATTGTATGCAAAGTTATGTGTTCTCACAAAAGAAGGGAATAGTGGAACAAGATAAATCTAGCGTTTAGAGGGAACATTGGTTCAGAAATATTTAATGTAAAATAAACAGCAATTTTTAAATATGAAAATCCTTCCAACCTGGAATCCTAAGAGGCATATCCCATGTGCCTACAAAAGTTCCCCATGGTGAACTTCTTTCTTTGGGCACATTTGTCAGTAAATGTCCTCGATCATTTGCCAAAATTCTTGTGAAACCTGGATTTGGTCTAGGATTCTGAAAATTGATGATATAAGACTTAACATGAAAAAAAAGCTGGTATAAATATGTGAGTAACTATTAAAATAGAATTTGCTGATGTCTTTATAGTGAACGATGTAGATCACATCCAAAGGTTTGGAAGAAATGCTACTGGGCAAAATACAAACAAATAACAGTTTATATAATTAACTCTCTAAGGCTGGGAAACCAATTTAAAAACAAATGGTTGGCCATAGGGTAGACAGCCCAACATAATGGGCATAACACTGTAAATGTTAACTTGCCCAATGCCATGCAAAAGCCATACATGGTGGAATGAGTCATCAACACAAATAGCATGTGACTAAGATAAGAACAAAACACTACCCAATACAATTGTACTGTATTTTAAAGTTATATAGCAGCAGGGACACTGTATCCTAGATCTGATTTAAAAATAGAAAATTTGCAGACAAATATTTGATTTTTTTTTTTTAGGCTTGAGTGAGATGTAACTTCAACGTAGCAAAAAATGTTGGATGACACAGCCAAACAGATGGAGCTTCTTGCTATCTTCCTCTTTGGCCTCTTCCAGAGTATGAGTATGAATATTCTGATAGTTGAATATCATCAACACCTTTCTAATTGTTATGCAGTACCATTTGTAAAACATGCCAATGTTTCAATTGTAGATAATTTTTTTTAAATTTTGAAAATGAAAATAAAAAGCAAATTATATAATTTGATATCTGTTACACTTGATTATTCTTTTATATTATATATTTGTTCTAAAACCTACTTTTGGGGAAATATTTCAGGGGAATAAGTGGGGTGGTTGGCTTATTAATGGACCATAGGAGATTTTAAAATAATTTTCTCTAGATACGTTGATTCAATTATAGATAACAGTAACAGTTAACAAAATAGTAATTAACCCAAGTCACCAAAAGTCGTAAAGCTATGTGCAAAATGGAGTCACAAGTTAGGCTTCTTACAATGCATTCCCAACTTGTTCCACACAGCAGCAGTTGAAATCCATTTTAAAAAGTTCAGAGCCACTCTCAATTTTTAAACCAGCACCTAAACTATACTTAATACCAGTTACCATACTTGGATGACACAAACTTGTTAACTGATAGTAAATTTTAAGACTACTATATTATTATGGAATCAGCTAATAAGCAGATCAAACACTTTTTAGGTAATTACTGGTCAAAAGTAGGGGATTGGCTCATGAACAAGAAGTTATAGAATAGGGGATATATGGTAATTTTTTTTACCAACTATCATCTTTTAAAAAAAATTATGCAGAACAATTATATGGAATAGATTTGTAACTTATACTTAGATAAAAGATAACTAGCACAAGGTAACATTTCATCTGGAAATTAAAAAAATTAAAATAAACACCAACACAACATATTCCTACTATCTACCACATCAAAATCAAGTAATTTAAAATGTACCTTTCCTTCTGCACTTTTGGGAACTTCCCAATTTTGTGTCCTATGTGGTGTGAAAGCTTGCTCATACTGAAAAACAGTTGTGACAGTTGAAAAAAAACATGATTAAGCTCACCCTCTTCATGATACACTGCACACTTATTATTTCACGCCCATGAACTATATAAATATAGCCGACCCGTGGCTTAACATACCCGCGAGCTCGTTGGGGTGTGCGCATGGCTGGCAAGTGAGGGTGGTGCAGGAGGGGGGTAGCTCTAACACAACGATGGGCAGGCATGGGAAGGGAGGGGAGGGTTTGCCTGCATCTTGCTTGCTCTGGCATATCTATATATAGCCTGCATCGTCGTCTTCTTGCTTCTTGCCCTAGTTTCGCTGGCAAATTATACATATATAAGATTCTACATTTTATCATGTTTTTTTAAAAATATATTTTTATACTCTTTCTTGTTTAGTCTTATAGTTATAGAACAAGTACCTTCATTCTTCATATTCATACTTCATAGCCATTGAGCCATACTATACATAGTCTATATGGCCTACCAAACTCTGCAAACTCATTAGTCATTAGTCATTAGTATTAGTCAAAAGACTAAAGACAAAGAGCCAAAAATTAGCAGCAGGACGTTTAAAATATTTTTGAGAGTCAAATTTCTTTTCAAAAACCTTTCAATTTCAAGAACCATGTTTTTCAGAGTCCAAACCGATTTGTGGCCGAATGGCCGGGCCGCACTCAGGTCGCGAAAGCGCCGCATGCGGTTCGCGAGTCCTGATCTGTCAACCACTGGTCTATACTCTAGTTATAGTGTCTATAATAATACAGTATAATTATAACATTTATAATATAGTTAGGGTATATAACTTATACTAAAATTAGAGTATTAAAAAAGTAAAATAATAGTCAATTATAGTCAAAGTGTTTCACAACTGTGTATGACTTGAATAATGATAATGAATAGAAGGTAGATAGACACAGTCACATTCACATAGTTTACATAGTATAGTATAGTATTCAATCATCATATTCAGACTCTGCATTCGACAAAATGCAGTTCGACAGTAAAAAAAATTCATGGACTGCTACCTGATTGGCATGAAAGTTGATACTCATTTTAAGTGAATTGAAAAATCCTCAACTATGGTGCCCAGGAGATAATCTCTCACCGAAGCCGTTGCTAACCAACGCTTTCAGTGAAAGTTTTATTGTTGCTAAGAAAATTTGATGCGCAGCCAATATTTACATGTCACGATATACTTTTCTATTAAATAAATTATCTCTGATTGAGATATGAGAAGAATAAGTATGTAATTTTTAAAAAATAAAAATATTTCTATTTTTTTTGTAAATTAGTATTTTTATATTATTATTTTAGCTCCTGGACATACAACTTGATTTGATTTCCGTCTTTAAAACGATCGATAACTCTGTAAAGAGTTAAAAATTGTACCAACATTGAAAAAAAATGACGTTTTTTCATTTTGGCAATTGCGTTGCTCTTGCTTATGTGCCTTATGTCATTGTTTATAAATGTTCAGGATTGTAAGTCATTTTTTATATATTATTTTAAAATGTGGATTCAATGAAACCGTAGGATAATTTATAGGCTTAATCTGTATATTGATATGTAACATGTAATGTATAATTTTTTTGTATACTATTCGGTAGCCGGTAGTATTTAATTTTATCATTGGTCAGGGCACTCCAGGCCAAGTTACTCAGTCAGTAACTGACTCTTGTAAGTTTAAACTTATGTCTTATAAGTATAAGACTAAGAATACCACTAAGAAGACTGTAGTCTTACTCCTGTCCATACCAATTTTATCAAGCCAGTTCTGTGGCAATAGGCTATAATTTAGTGACATTTATTTAAGTTAGGCTGAACCAATTGCTTGCCAATTATTGAATGTATTGTTAACACTAACTGCACAAAACTACTGTAAACTTAAAGTTAACATTTTAAAGTAAGAGTAGACTCTATATGTAAAGCACTTTTACATAGTTTGGCGGACCAGTCATGACCAGTGGATACATTTTGAAATTGCATCAGTGACAGATTAATTAATTGCATTGCAGTTTCCTTTTTTTACCGGTAACCATAAATATTAATGTTGGCGGACCGACAGTGTAAGGCTTGCTGACTAGCGCCCATCCATGGACCACCATTTCGGAAACACTGGTGTAGATTGAGAGAGCATGTCCATATGACAACAAATTCAAATGAATTCACATACTTTAGTCTTTAGTTTTATATAGTTTTTAGTAATTATCCCATTAACTCAGGTTTAGTGATAAGTCTAGTGGCATACCTTGACTCAAGGCCATCCGAGGCAAACTCTTGAGGACAAAAATACTCCCTCCAGCACACACACAATTTATAGAATTTATAATGTTATATCTAAGTCTAAGCCCCAAAATTAATGCCTGGGAGGTCATCCTCTTTGCACCTCCCTATGTCTATGTTCACCTCTGATAAAGCCTACCGTCATCCATTTTGCAAAAATATATATATTTTTAAAAAATGGTAAGTACTTAAGCATATGGCAGCACAAGCATTTAGTGTTACCTTACCAATGATAAGAGATGGAAATCAAAACCGAACTGAATACATCAAACTTGAACCCTGCTAATGACTGAACTAAACCCTGCGGACCACCAAAATCAAACTTCAATGTCACCGAGTATAAACCAAACAAACTTTTCGCAAAATCATTAGAACCAAAATGTTTTACAAATGTGTCACATCGCCACTTATGCCAGAAATGCTTATATTTTAATTTAAACTAGAAAACCCAAGCGCTAAACGATTTTTGTAAACCAAAATATTTTTCTTTATCATCGTCTACCCTACTCCCCAAGCCATCACCCTTTTGGGCATTGGCTTGATTTGCATAAATGCCTGACAAATTAAATAAAAAACAACTCTATGTAGCCAAATCTTTTTCATCCAGTGTCAGCAACATGTAATGTTAAAATACAAACTAAATTAAAATGGAGTATGAAACTTATTTACCGGAACATTCATTGTGTAAGAGAAGTCTCAGCAAGCAGTCCAGTTTGAGAGGATTTAAACCTCTTTCCATAAGCAAATAATTAAACCCAAGACGAATTTATTTTTCCCTACTATTTAATTTAATTTTATTGAGTCACGCATTTATTTATAGTTATATTATAAATCCCTGTGCACTATGATAGTTAAAGAAAATGACTTTCTTCTTTTAAGTGCATTTATAAAACAGACTAATTAAAAAAACAAAACATTATTTACAGAATGTGTTGAACTTCAGTGGTTACCAAACCTAAGCTTTACTGAGCCGAACTTAAACTTCACTGAACTGAACTCAAACTTGAGCTGTTTCTGAATCCAAACTTTTAAAAGAGGGTTCAATTCCTATCTCTGTTAACGATCTTGGTCTATTAATATTATCTATGAAATCTTTGAAAATTCCAAAAGCAAATAGTCAGTTACTGTTAAAATTTTCCAGATAAAATTTTATTAGGCTCAGTTATTTTACTATTTTATTTTTTATTCACAGAGCAGAATACAGTGCATTCTGGAAATGTGTCCAGGCCGGTGGGGCATACTTGTTTACACAGCTGTGTAAGATGTTGCTACTTGCCACATTTTTCCCATCTACAGAAACTGCTACTGGTGGACTTGATATCACAGGGGTGGGTGCTAAACAGAATTCTTCAAATTCTAAATTAAATACTGTATAAATAGGCTTCCGGAGATTAAGAAGATTAACTGTTAACATTTTGGTGGGATAAATCTATAATATAACCGTAATTTTGACCTTTGTAGATTTTAAAGTTTATGAACTTGCTAGGCATGAGGTGTGCTGTAGCCTAAATGTTATTTAAAATATCAAATTTCTTTCTTTTTAAAATTACAAAATATTTAACAAAAGTTAAATGGGTTAAGGGTTACTTAATAAAGTTCATTTTAAGATATCCTAATTAATTCAAGATGACATCATTAACTAGCTTAGTTATGATGTTTAAATCCTTAAAATTAAACAAGTTTTGAAAAAACTTATAGATCAACTGTTGAAAATTATTTAGTTCAGTTGCAGTGTTTCTATGAGATCTTAGGATACGCTGAAAGATCAGATTAGTTGAAAGCATGAAGTAAAGGCAAACAAAAATGAATTCATCTCTTTTGTTTGCTTTGTTATCAATTTCAAGGAATTGAAAGGGGGAAAAAATGAAAATATTTCGTAAACTAACAGGTTTATTTGTCAACTATCCATTTAAAGTGTGTAAATATATTTTTTCATTTCAATTATAAAATGCTGTTTTCAGGAGTTCCTCAAATCAACAGTAGACATAGCTGACCTTGTGGGTCTTCATATTGTGATGTCAAAATTTGCTGGAAAAGGCCAGTTGAAGTTTATGATAGCTGGCATGGGCTGGGCAACTGCTGAGCTGATTGTTACTAGGTAGGCTCATTCTAACTTGTGATTGTTATCAGGTAGCCTCATCACTACTTGTGATTGTTACTAGGTAGGCTCATCCCTACTTGTGATTGTTAACTAGGTGGCCTCATCACTGCTTTTGATTATTACTATGTAGCCTCATCACTGCTTGTGATTGTTACTAGGTGGGCTCATCACTGCTTGTGATTAGGTAGCCTCATCTCTGCTTGTCATTTTTACTAGGTAGCCTCATCACTGTTTGTTACTAGGTAGCCTCATCACTGCTTGTGATTGTTACTAGGTGGGCTCATCACTGCTTGTGATTAGGTAGCCTCATCTCTGCTTGTCATTTTTACTAGGTAGCCTCATCACTGTTTGTTACTAGGTAGCCTCACCACTGCTTGTCATTGTTACTAGATAGCCTCATCACTGCTTATCATTGTTACTAGATAGCCTCATCACTGCTTGTGATTAGCTAGCCTCATCACTGCTTGTGATTAGGTAGCCTCATCACTGCTTGTGATTGTTACTAGGTGGGCTCATCACTGCTTGTGATTAGGTAGCCTCATCTCTGCTTGTCATTTTTACTAGGTAGCCTCATCACTGTTTGTTACTAGGTAGCCTCATCGTAGCCTCATCACTGCTTGTGATTGTTACTAGGTGGGCTCATCACTGCTTGTGATTAGGTAGCCTCATCTCTGCTTGTCATTTTTACTAGGTAGCCTCATCACTGTTTGTTACTAGGTAGCCTCATCACTGCTTGTCATTGTTACTAGATAGCCTCATCACTGCTTATCATTGTTACTAGATAGCCTCATCACTGCTTGTCATTGTTACTAGATAGCCTCATCACTGCTTGTCATTGTTACTAGGTGGGCTCATCACTGCTTGTCATTGTTACTAGATAGCCTCATCACTGCATGTCATTGTTACTAGATAGCCTCATCACTGCTTGTCATTGTTACTAGATAGCCTCATCACTGCTTACTATACAATAAACTCTTTACACACTTTGACTTAGTAGGAGAATTCTGCTGTGGTTATTAAAAATATCTTTTTCTGTAACATAACAGATTTTTACCCCTTTGGATGGGAGCCCGAGGTGTTGAGTTTGACTGGAAGTATATTCAGATGAGTTTTGACTCCAACATTAGTTTGGTAAGTGGGTCTTAGTAGTGTTTAAGAAACTTTTAAATCATATTTTAAATCAATTTATTTTAAAGATGAAAATAATCAGCACTTGATTTTAATTGCACTTTGCACAGAGGAAAGAAGTTTGATATCTTATAATAACTGAGTGAAGCAAAGAGAAAAAAGCTGAAATTTAAAATATTCAAAAAATTTTAAATCGAAGTTTTTAATTTTAATTAAACATTTTTTTAAATAGTCATGGATTAAAATTCTAAGTTCATTTGATATTTTTAATTGTGCTTTCATTTACTGTCGTTGATGTTAACTGCTTTGTGGTATTTTTCTTACTTTTTCAGATCCATCATATCAGTGTTGCAATGTTGGTTTGGTTATACAGTCGAAGTGATCTGCAAAAATCCTCCTTGCCAATCGTGGTAACTCTCCTTGGATTGGCCTGTTACAGGCCGCTGATTGTTGAGTGAGTTGTTTTTTTTTATCTCAGACTTTCATTGCGTCAGTGTTTGATGAAGCAATTTTCACTTTGGCTTTCTGCTTCTGTTTTCTGGTAGCAGGTAGTTAGTTAGTTACACTACTAAAATGTCTGTAACCTCTTTGTCTCCAGAATATTGATGCAGGCTGTTGGCCTGGGATCCTGGATGCTGCTGCTGGCCAAGGCAGGCTTCACATCAGTGGTGGCTCTTATTTCCCTTCAGATGTACTTGAGCATCCCTTCCCAAGGGAGCAACTCTTACTATTGAGATACATTGCTGTTATTACATTGGTGAACAAGCTATTTAAATTTAAACATCTTTTAATACTGTTCTTTAGTGAGAGAAAAATTTGATAAGAGTTATGTAAAAAAAAAATTACCTTTTGAAAACTGTTTCGACCATTAAAAATTTTCCTTTTTGCTCTGGCCATAAACTAGCTATATAAAGAACTCTCATCATTTTAAACAGTTACCTAGTCTGCCATAGAATTTCCATTTTCATGAGAGTAAGCAAGCAGAAATGAACTATAGTAAACCGTATCCGGATATTTGTTTGAAAGAAATTTCGTAGACGGAAAATTGATTGAATTTTATATTCAGTTCACACAATCAAATTTTTAAAAAATTTCTTTTTGAACTCATTATTTTGTTTTACCATATAGTATAGTGGGTTCAAAAAGAAATTTAACTCATTCCCTCTGGCAGTGCTGCTTCCGGACTTAATTTATTTTCCTAAGAAAATGGAACCAACTCAGTTTTGAAATTGATTTACATTTTTAAAATAGTTTTTTAAGTTGCTAAATATTATTTAATGTTAATTTATTAAGAACAAATGCAATAAAAAATGAATACGGTTTAATATAAATATTACATTAGCGGGGAAAAAATAACTAACAATGGCCAAAAAATAGATTTTCGGCACCTCGGACGAACACATGCTACATATAGACGCGCCGTACTAAAGCACACATAGCTTTAAAGTGAAACAAGATAAAAACTTCTGGTTTTTAAATTAAAATCATGCAGAAATTACGCCATAGCCAGAAGTCTCGAGAGACGCGAGATTTAATTGCTATTTATAACTAAAAATAAGAGAGGTGTGTTGCTATGCGCCGGGACGCATTTGGACGCATCGGGAGGAACCCCCAGAGGACGCATTTAGTTGCAACCGTCGGGAAAGAGTTAACAAAAATTTGATAGCGTGAACTGAAAATAAAATTCGACCAAACTTCTATCTATCAATTTTCTGTAGACAAAATGTCTTTCAAACAAATTTACGATAACCATAGTTAACATTCATTCTCGTATTTCTATTTGCTTGAGGTAAGTAAGTATTTTTTGCTACCACAACTGAGTATGTTTAGATGTGAGAATGATGAATGTAATATTAATGTAAAAATTTAATTTACTGTATTGTCTTTTCAGATTCACTATGAATAAGCCAATTAAATTCATAGATCACATGATGATTTTAAAAAACTTGTTCAGTTAAGGTCTGGAAATGGAACTTATTACACTAATACCAATGTCACTCTGGATAATTACTCTTTAATACCCATGGTACCATGCATAAACATAAAGTGTTGTGTTGACATAAAAATAAATTAAAATGATTTGAATTTCAGTGCTCAATTCAAAGTTGAAAAATATTACGTGAAAAATATTACGTATACTTCTCTAAAAGTACAACTTCCAATATGTTTTTTAAAAATTGTGACTTTAAAGTAATTTGATATAATTGATTACTATTTCAGAATTAATTGATGAATAATGTAGAAAACATTTTCCAAATCTGATCACAAATGAGATGTTTTAATTGTGGGTTTTTTTTTTTAATGACAGACCCTAAATAAGTACAATGGGCTGTTCATTCTTTTTTCTTATGCAACATTTATAATCCCAATAAAAAGTAGTCAATGCTCATCATGTTGAAGTGCATTTCATTTAGAATACCAATACTGAGTTGTGTGCTTTAATAATGGGGCATTTTGTGCTTTAATAATGGGGCATTTTGTCAATCATGTGTATTATGTCTTTGTATAAAACATGTTTTTGTAAACTGGGATCATATATTATATGCAGTTGTATTCTCTGTGTCTTGTATGCAATTGATCAGATTTTTTGTTAACAAAAGTAGCCGGATGTAAGAAAGATGTTTTACTTATTTATAAGAGAGAGAGAGAGATTAAATAAATAACATTACACATTTTTTCTAAGGTTGTCTTTTTTTATTAAAAAATATTTTTTTTACATTTTTATCTAAGTTTTAATTATTTCCTTTCTAAGTTTTAATTATTTCCTTGGCAGTGCGGCAGCCTAAAGTTCATAGGCTATTACAATCCTAAGTAATACAGAACAGGAAATAAACACTGGTCAAGACCCAGAAGATCAACCCCTTCTTTGCCAGCATTTGAAATTTTAGAAAAGTCTCATTACCAGACCATAACAATACACAGCAAAATTTGCGTACGTTAAAAAAAAACATATACAAATTACAAAAAGATTATATACACATTCTAAAAACTGTTGAGTATGTCAACTTGTCCATTTCAATCCATTTCAATTGTAATTTAAATGAAGAATTGCAATAGTGTGGAGAGAGAGACAGAGAGAGAGGGAACAAGGGATAGGGTGGCATTGTATTAATGAAGAAAGAGAAAAAAAAAAGGAATGATGAAATCAATTTTATGAACTGAGAACAATAACATTTGTGGCAAGAAGTCTCTCAAGTGCTTGCGAACATGGACAACACAAATTAATAATGACACTAAAAAAAAAAAAGTATCCTACAACATAAAAACATACAACAATGCTTTTATCATACAATACAAATGCTAGTCGTAAAGTGTGCAAACTAAATATACTGTCACCTATGAAGTGTAATAGTCTGAACAATGTAAAGCTAGAGAGATATAAACAAGTTTAAAGTTTTAAAATCCTTAATCCTAATCAACTTTTTTGTAGCTTCTTTTTTTTTTTTTTAAAGCCAGTTCTTTCCATTGTGAGTGGGATTTTGATCTAGTTTCTTCACAAGTGACATTGGCCTAAACACTCTGCAAGTTGGTCAGTACTGTACACACAGATTGGGAAAGTGATCTAGTTTCAAGTGTTGCTTTCTACACATGTGACATAGGCCTAACAATTTGTCGTAAAGTATGCAAACTAAATATACTGTCACCTATGAAGTGTAATAGTCTGAACAATGTAAAGCTAGAGAGATATAAACAAGTTTAAAGTTTTAAAATCCTTAATCCTAATCAACTTTTTTTGTAGCTTCTTTTTTTTTTTTTTAAAGCCAGTTCTTTCCATTGTGAGTGGGATTTTGATCTAGTTTCTTCACAAGTGACATTGGCCTAAACACTCTGCAAGTTGGTCAGTACCGTACACACAGATTGGGAAAGTGATCTAGTTTCAAGTGTTGCTTTCTACACATGTGACATAGGCCTAACAATTCTGCAAAGATGGTCAGAACACAGAGCCTGGAATAAAAATGAGATGATTGCCATTAATATCGCCTGAGTTATTCCAACATCAACACTGCAGCCATTCACTAAGGAGTGTCATTCAAGCACTTACCCTACACAAGAATCCTCTTGTTGTGGAGTAAATTCTGGGATGGTTGACTTTGTACAGCTAGTTATATAGCATTTAAAATTACAAACTGGTATTTTTTTTTTTTACAGCTTAATACAAGTTGTATTTCAATCTAAAGAAAAAATGCGTTTTAGGGTCATTTTTCGAAGTTTTCAAAAAAATTGTATTACAACAGTGCACACATTGGTCTTTCTTTACAAAAGAGCACAAACTGGTCTTTCTTTTCAACAGAAGAAAGTCTGCAACACTTTTTCCTCAACCCTTTTTTAGCTCGCAGCACATTTTTTTTTATAGCTCTAAAAATTTTGTGGAATACCTATTTTGCACTGCAGGTACTTCATTAAAAAAAAAATATCTGATCCTGCTTTTATAAATAAATTATATAGTACCTCTGAGTGAACAAAACCACCTAGACACATGTCTAACGTGTAGGCAGTGTATTCACAAACTGATTTTAGATGTAGGTTGAGAAATAAACAACCTTGTGATTAAATTGTGACAACAGCTTGAGAAACACTTGGCCTTTTGCAAACATTTTGAGAACGCTAACAGGTTCGTGTACCTTTATTTTATTATTCATTGCTCGCTCTCCAGAAAATATTTTCAACACAATCGATTTAATGGGACATGAAAACATACCAACAATTTTTAAAAAAAATTAATTCCTCATTTTCTATGGCAAAAATTGTATTATTAGTGTCACTGATGTTAACTGTTTACTACTCTAATGTGCAAAAAGAATAAAGACAGATTTTTGTCATTACTGAAGCATTCATAATATTAATACAGGTGGATGCACATTATGAAGTGAAAATTCCTGCTTTCCGACATCTTGTTAACATCGTTTCATATCAGATATGCCATGATACACTACATGCCTATGGCTTGGTTGCAGATGTGTCATGATACACTAAATGCCAACCGATTGGTCACAGATGTGTAATGACACACTCATGATACACTATACGCCAACGGCTTGGTTACATACTGAAATTATTTTACCCTACCAGCATTTTCATTGGCCGAGTCATCTCCCCTGCTGCCACGTTCTTTATGCCTGGATTTTTCTGGTTTCGATGACGATTTGGATTTTTGGGGTCTGGACTTTTTTGAATGAACTTTTTCTTGAGGCTTCTTTACATTCAAAATGGGATGGATTTCTGGAGAACCAAAAAAAAAAAGTAATTTTGAATTAAGTTTGAAAGTTAACTTTTAGCAAATTTTTTTTATACTAAATGCTGACAATGTTTGCCAATGTTTTAAAACATTTCTCTTGTAGGAAATGGATAACTTCTTAATTCTGTATTGGACAAATGAAATAAAATTGCTTGAACTCATGTTATTTGTAGTGTAAACACGTTTGATTACATATCTGATCCCATAATCTCATGACCAAGAGTTAACTGTGACACAAGGCAACTTTGATATTTAATATAAAATACACACCATCTCGCGGAGCATCTGGAAGGTCTACGTCCATAGTTTTTGTCTTCTTTTTTTTTACTGTTGGTGTGCTTCCATCCGATTGGCCACGTCGCTTCTCATTGTCGTGGCCCTGACGGGTTCTTTTTTCTCCACCTGACATGAAGACAGTTTACCAATGAACACCACACACACAAAAATATGCTTGCAATTTAAAAACTTGATTTTTTTTTTTTTAAAGTTAATATTATTAATCAGATTAATTTTTTAAGTGGCGCTACAACACCAGACCAATCGTCTTTTGTTACGGTTGATAGTTAGCCAGGTCTACGTCATACTTGTTGGTGTGCTGTCGGGGGCTTGAGGCTTTTTTTTCTCCACATTGGCACCACTTTGGTCTTCAGTCTATAATATTTGAAAGAAAAATTGGTAATTTGAAAAAAAAAAATGAGTTCCACAAATCTAAATGTTTTCCAATGACTTAGATATTAGAAAATGCAATATTTCATATGTTTAGCTCAAGTCAATCTTCCCACGTAGAGCTCTTAAGGGATGGAGGGAAAAAAATGTTTTGTATTCAAAGTTAAATAAACTAAACTAACAAGGATGTGACAATTTTGAATGCATGGAACAGACATTACATATTACATATGTTATTGACACATATTCAATAACGCTTTGGGTTTTAATATTTTAATCTTCATATGGAATGAAACTGATGTTAAATGATATTATGTTATTTTCATAAATATATATAACTGAAGAGGAGAGTGCAGGACAAAGGGGGGCGTGGAGGAGGGGTGTTTAAGAAACCGGCATAATATTAAATTCTAGGCAGAAAATGGGCTGAAAGCTGACAGATGGAGATCAAGCTTACAACAAGTATCCTTAGGAAAAGTTTACAATAATGCTCTTATAAAGCCTAAGCTTGAATAAAATTTGACTAAATGCAAGTTTTTTCATTAATTGTATCGCTTATTAGCCACTAAAATTACTAATAAAGTATAGTTGTATTAACCTTTGTACTTTGAGACAGCTGAAATAAAATGGTCAAGATTTTTAAAAAAAAAATTTATATTTTAAAAAAAAAATGTAATATTTAAATTAAAGTAGCATTTTGTTTTAAACATTAAAAAAAAAAAATTTCTTAAGAATAAATTCCAGCTAAGCAAGGTAGCACTGAATCTTTACATACATTAAGGAATTAAGAATTTATTTATGCTATACTTATAAGCAGGAATGGTTTACTTATGCTTTTAAGTAGAAGGCATTGCAATTGATTTTTTAAAGTGCATTTAGCTAAAGGTAACATTATTTACAAGAAGAAACAATTACATCTTCAATGAGTGAAACTCATTTTAAAAAATTCCCAACTGTAATTATAAACTGCACCTTATATTTAAATATAAATTGTTTAATTCATTATTAAAAACAAACAGGCCTTCTTTAAAAAAAAAAAAAAGAAGAAGAAAAACAAATAAAATTATTATAATTACAATTTTTGAATGTAACATAACATAATACTGGTAAATAATATTTAAATAAATTGAATTCCAATGATAACACATCAGTGAAATGTTTTAGAGATTTAAAATAACAACGTTTAAAATACATGCAATCTTTTTTTTTGTTGTGTCAGCACGGACAAACCTGCCTTCTCAAGATTAGATATCTATTGCAGGACATATTTAATGAAATAGCAATGCTTATTGAGAAATTTTGCAATAGCTTTAAGGAATGAAAGAATAGGTAAATAGCATTCAAACTTCAAGTGTTGGTTGAAAATCTTCCTGGAAATCGGAAAGCAAAACATTAAATGACTGAAAATCAAAATATGGGGGGGGGGGGGGGGGGGGAAAAATAAAAAAAAAAAAAAAAAAAAAAAATGATGACTAAGATATCGAAAAAGACAAAAGAAAGGATAGAAACAAGGGTATGTGGATGATGTGTACAGAAAAGTAGAGGAAAATCACATTTAAAAGTAACAAAGAAAAAAATTAGTTTTAAGTTAAAATAATAAAAACTTTGATAAAACTAAATGCTTAAAAAGGTTACACATCAAAGATCAACTACAGAATTGACAAAGCTACATAACAATATAACAAACAAATATTGTCATTGCTACTATTTCTTAGTCACTAGAACCAGTTCTTAGCTATTTGTTCTACTTAGTCAATGGTGAACTAAATCATCGAGATAATGAAT